CGTTTTTGTTATTTCTGTCGCCCCCTTTAAGCCTGTGCTTGTGTAAAAGATTCTTTTGGAGTTTCCGCGCCGCAGCGAAGGCGTTTTCGCTGGTAGGCACAAGACCGACATGCCGAACAGGCGTGGGTTCATGGCGGAACACTTTATGCTGCCTCGGGGGTTTGAGTCTGTGGGGCCAGAGGAGCATGACAGAGTTCTGCTTTCACTTCCCCTTCTTTTCTTTCATCTTCGTCTTTTTTTTCTTTTCTTACAGCACGTTTTGGATGTGATCGAAACCACAGCAACAACCAACAAAAGTAAAAGGTGGGTGACCTCATCGCAACTATTGACGGTGTTTCTCTACGGAAACCAGACGGAATAAAGGAAGGCTGGGGGGGAAAAAAAAAGGATAAGGGTCAAAGCAAAACAAAAACAAAACAAAAAGTGCTGAGGGAGGCTGGCTTTACATCTACCTGGATCTATATTTGTATACCTATATATCTCTATCTGTGTATATATTTATATAGTCCCCAGTCATAACAACACTGTCGCTAGTGATGCACGGACGCTACGTGCCGCAGGAAGTGCTTGGCACAGGAACTTACGGAAGGGTGTTGCGCTGCAGTGACACACACACTGGCAAACAGGTCGCAGTGAAGGTCGCGCAGCGAGACGTTGCCTACCGTCGCTCTGCGTTGAATGAGATCCGTGTTTTACGGCTTCTTTCCCACAGCGAGGACACTCTGAAAATGCTTGACTTTTTCGAGGATGAGGGCCACCTTTGCATCGTTTCCGAACTGCTTCGCACAGATTTGTATGAGGTGCTACGCAAGAATGGGTTTAAGCCACTTCCATTAGAGAGTGTGCGTATTGCTGGCGAGCGCGTCCTCCGGGCCCTGGCGGAGCTGCATAAGTTGGGTTACATGCACTGTGACATCAAACCGGCGAATGTCATGCTTGGCTACAGTAATGCAGACGACAACAATGTGACTGACTGCACTAAGGCGTGCCTCATTGATTTTGGGGCGGTGCGGCAGTTTCACGAGAATACCTACTACGACGTCCAATCACTTTGGTACCGCGCTCCAGAGGTGATTTTGGGGGTCCCCTATACGGTTCATATCGACTCTTGGAGTGTTGGTTGTCTCCTTTTTGAACTCTACACAGGGAAGCCGCTTTTTTCTGGCGAGAATCCGCGGGAACAGATGGTCAGCATTATGTGCACTCTTGGAATGCCCTCGATGGAAGCCTTGTCAGGTGGGGCTAATGTGGATAAGCTGCAGCTGCCACCTGTGTGGATGGATGCGAATGCGGAGGCCAATCTTCGCCATCTCATTATGAACTACCGCTGCAAATTCAGTGGGTTTCAGCAATCGTATCCGTCAGCCGGGGAGGAGGCGGCTTTTGTGAACCTGCTATGCTCCCTCCTACAACCTGATGTAAGATGGCGGCTGTCATGCGCAGATGCGCTGCATCACGCCTTTTTCAATCCTCGCTGCCTCAGTCGGGGCACCGCCGCGGCTGCCAATTTTTCGCTTCCCAGCTCTAATAACAAAGGTTTGTATTCATCATGTGATTCTAACTTTGGAGGGGGTTTATCGGCTACTGGAAGCGATATCTTTGGCTTGAGCTGCTACGAACATCTCGTGCCTCAGCCCACACCGACGCAGACACTACCACACTCGGATTCTACGCCCATCATGTCTGCAAGTTGCAACTCCATTTCCTTCGTGGGTTTGGTTGGCAGCCCGCCAGGGGTGGTGTTTCCCGCCCCGCTGCCAGCGACGTCGCCCCAGAGGAGGACCTCGGCCTCCCATGTTCTTCTTCAAAATGTGATGTATCCGCCCCCACCCATGACGCTCATACAACCCGTCCCTTTCCACTCCCAACAGCCTCAACAAGTTATGCAACAACCGCAGCAAATGGGGGGAAACGTTATTCCCATGCTGAGTTCGCCCCCAGGACATCCCCAGTTCCTTCCAGCGCATGTACTACCCGACTGCCAAGGGCATAAGTGGGATCCAGTGACGCTTCAGTCACAGCAACACCTTACGCCGGCGGAGATGCCTATGATGCATTGC